AATTAACTTTCTCTCGGTCATACTGCATGGTGTTGATGTTTTCTCACCTTATCAATTCTGGACTTAACAAAAGGTTTCCTTCCAAAATATGTGCAAGCTTCTGTGTTGACAGCCAGGAACTCCTGCATGTCCTCGCTGTTGGCCGTCTCAGGAATGTTGTTCAGTTGCTAGAAAATCAATCAAATTATGGGACCACACAAATCATCATTGATAATGCAGACGGAATCCTGGTACCTACTCTAAGGAACGTATCCAGTTGGCTTTTACGGGCCTCCACCCTCTCGCTGTCTGCATTTCCAAACGAAAGGTCAGGGAACATTTTCTTTGGGCCTTTGACATCTGAAATGCACAATAGTGACTAACATCAATGAATCTATCTTGACACAGTTCAATTTGGCCAATTAAAAGCAAAGGATAACTTCTTACTCTTGATTAATTTCTTAACTTCAGGCTTCTCCTCCAAACGTGTCTGCAGGTTGAGGAACTCGCTGTATCTGCGGTTGACAGTGTGAGAGGCTGCAGACTGCAGAGACGCACCGCATTCTGCTTCAGCCACTGTCTCAAACTGTAAAACAGAGAGTGGAGGGCAAAGTGTGATAATCGATAACACGTATTCAGTCAAACATTAAAGCTACACTATATACGTTTACTTAGCAACAGCGCCTTCTGCAGCCAGACCTGGTGACTAGCTCTGTCAAGTTTCTGAGCAAGTGGGATTCTATTAAACTCTTGACTGCATCTTCCCACTCACTGAAGTGAAACACAACTGACATGATGCAGCTTCCTGAAGCAGGGGAGCTGCCACTTTGAAAAATGCATCAAACTCGTGTAGAATTCCTCTTAGTTTCTTCACTGAATATCAGCGATAAACGCTGGTTTTGAATGTCTTCTTTATCTTTTTAACTTATAACATAAAGTCAGCATTACTGTTGAACTTGCTGGATCTGATTCTGATTATTTAAAGGTGCAGTGTGTAGAATCTAGTGATATATCTAGTGTTGAAATCTCATGTTGCAGCTGAACACCCCTCACCTCACCCTCTCCTTTCAAACATGAAAAAGAACCTGTGGCAGCTTCAGTTGTCATAAAAACTCAAAAGGTGTTTAGTTTGTCCAGTCTGCACTAATGTAAAAAACATGGCAGCCTCCGTAGAGAGGACCCCCTTGATGTAAATATAAAGTATTTAGATATAAGGGGCCTCTTTTGGGCTAAAGGAAACTACAATTTAGATGAATGAACTAGTGAAAACATCATGAGGATTATTCTACATTAAATTTCTCCAATTGTTGTCTTTCACTTAAATCTTACACACTGGACCTTTAAAATGTGATTTTCAGTCAGTCACACACTTCTCAAAGGTGATCAAACCCACATACTAAAGTTACATAGAGCGAGAACAGGCGTTTGGAGTGTGAAGTGGGAATGAGACTGGGACCATTCTCCTTCTTCCATGTCAGTGAAGCATCAAACTAATTATGAGGATACTATTTTACAGTAATAACAGTATTGCTTTAAAGGCAGCAGGAGGTGGTGTTACCTTCACAGTGTAGAGTGTATAGGGATGTGCGCCTGTGCCTCGCTGCTCCTTTGCAGCGACTGTACCAGAAATTTGTACATTCTGGACATGCACAGCTGCAGCTTGGTTGTTGGGCGAATCACAGTTGTAGGAGTTAAGTCTTTTCGGGGAAGAAGACGGGGATTTCTCTTGGGCTATACCCGCCGGCCACTGGGAGTCCTCGGGCACAACCACCTTCGGCCCAAGATTTTTTAGAGGACCGAAGCAGCCGAATCCCTCGTCGTCCTTCAAGGGGCTCACGCTGCAGAAGTTTGTTGGAGGACCACAGTCACAAAAGCCTCCTGTCAGGTCCTCTTCTGAGTCAGACTGAATCAGAGACTCCAGTGAAATCATTTTGGACTCGGACGACTGGGAGTAATGAGCAGAGGTGAGAGTACAGCAGCTCACTTTGCATGGTGTGAGTAAACCTGCGTGACAACTTTCTAATTTGTCCATAGATGTCAGGCTGATCAGGCTGCTCTGCGAGGAGTCCTGATCATTGATCAGACTGAGGCTCTGATCTTCAGGCTCTGACAAGCTTATGCTGGAGAGACCTGCTTGTTCAGAAGAAGACAGGGACCTGCAGGTGGTCCAGGAGTCCTGCTGGATTTGACATCTGTACAATGCAGCTGCTGGGAGCCCATCCTGTGGTTCTCTGGACCTGGTGAATATATCTACAATGGTTTGGTTCAGCCAGTCAGGATCAGACACTCTGCTAATGAGAGGCAACAGAACATTGCAGGTGATGAGTTCTGTAACCATGTAACCTCCAGTCCTGGTCTCCATCTGAGGGTATGGAACAAGCACATGCAAGACGAGGTTAACCAGAGCTCTGGAGTAGCTGAGCTCAACGGCTTCACTGCTCACAGCTGGGTGAGGAGAATCTACTTCACTGTAAAGCTTCCACAGGCTGAAAACCTCCCTGTGTGTTAACTGTATCTGCCGGGCCGTCATGTAGCTCTGCAGGTGACAGCCGTACAGCTCCAGCAGCCGTTCGACCAGCGCCTTCCTGTCCAATCGCCTTGCACGCTCCTTCAGCTCCATTACTGACTCCAACATTGAATTACGAACTGCACACTCAAACTCCCCCTCCACCTCTGGCAGCAGAGTACGATACCACGAGGACACAAAGTCTCGCACCGCTTTGTGAACGGCACTGTCGATCTCGTGGTTCAACCTCCATTCATGTTCGGGTGAACACGACGGTGGGTTGATGGCGCCAAGAGGCAAAAAATGCTCCAGGTGGAGGAGGCTGTTTGCATCCAGCACAGCCCGAGACCCGAGCCATCCTCCGAGGACCACTAAGAGACTGGTGAAGATGCAGAGCAGCCAAACGTTGACCAGGAGGTGAAAGAGGACGAGCCATGCCAGGAGAGCTCCGAGGCCTAACAGCCTCCTCTGCCCGAGTAACTCTGATAAAGTCCAGTGATCAGAGCTCTTGGAGGAGGGCATCATAGTCAGCAGAAGAGTGTCCTGTTTAAAAAAGACAATGTACTTTCACGAGAATGGCTTGCTCCCCCTTGCCCTTAGATAAACAGTTTGGTCAGTCTTCCACATACACGTCTGCTCATGCAATATCACATCCACAAATGACAAAATTTCCATTACACCATCCTCACACATTACTGTGTATGCCACTATTTTGTATATAGTGTGGGAGAGTTGGGCCTGTTTCGTTCCACACTTGTTTTTGAGTATATGTAATATATTGCTGAGTAGACTGTGAATTTCACCAAGGGATCAACAGTCTTATCTTTATCCATAAAAAGAACATTTTAACATCTGCTGCTAACACTTGTATATAGTCTATAATAATCAATAAAATACAATAATAATACAAATAAAAATACAAAATAACTAGATGGAAAACTTACTATTAATGTAGTGAAGTATGTAATGGAAAACTTGCATATGAACTTTGCTTGAACTCTTTCCTATGATCAATGCTCGTGTGCTGTGTTCAACAATAACTCATACAGAGACACAATTGTGCTCGCATAAGAGGAACTTTCTGGCGTATGTGCAGACAGACAATTTGAAACTAGATAGACACCTTTTACTTTTTTACCCATAACTATCCAATACCATGACTGCTGCTATGCACTATTAAAGACCCAAAGAAAATTCCTTAATCGGTCTGAGAAACTCTTTGTTTCACATCTCGAGATAAATTTCCACCACAAGTATAAAGTATGTATATAAAGTATGTTGGTCTACATAATAAACTTCTGACATAAACACAGAGTAACATCAAGGAACAGAAAATGTAAGCAATCAAATACAAGCATCTCAAATATTTAAATAAGTCACCGATAACAGCAGAGAACTCATTTAAATGCTGGTGTAACATTAAATTATTACAAAATAAAAGAGCTGTTGTCAACATTTATCAGAGAGGGACCTGTTGCCATGGCAGTCAGTAAACGCCATCATCTGTCAGTCTCCTGCAGTGAAACCAGCCTGTTGTGCTTTATTGCTCTTTTTCTTCACCACTTTGACTACATGTGTTTCTGATGTAGCTACACCTATAGCTTACAGCTGAGGTCACAGGTGGAGCTAATGCTCAACTAACACAAGCAGCTATAGACTATAATCTACTGATGTACTGTTCTATTCATCCCACATGTTCTGACAGCGAGGAGACAGCAAATATTACCTGAAAGGTTCCAGGTTATTGGAGCTTTCTATACGGAACACAGGCCAAATGAGACGTCCTCGTCCTCCTGTGGGTCATGGCTCTAATCCTCCAACAAAGATTATCAGGATCAGCTGGTCAAGATGGACACACACACACACACACACAGGCCATATGGAGGGACAAGGAGCTATCAGGTGCAGACGTCCCGAGTGTTTACAGCTCTGTGGGAGAGACACGTTCCTCCACTGCAGCTGTCGATAGAAACATGACTAAACACGTACAAAACAAACAAGAAAGAAAGAAAAGTAAAGATAATTGTTGAGGAATTTTTCATTACTGTATATGCCACTATATATTATGTATATAATGTATATTACACATTATATCTGTCCACTATTGTACAGATATAATGAGTGGGGCCTGTTTCCCTCTACACATACTCCCTTCTCTCTCCAAGCAGTACCCGAGGTCAGGATATAGATTAAAGGGCCAATTACATTGTACTACACTTAGGGACATGCATATAAAAAGATTCATATCTAACTCAGATGCCCTAGACAGAGAGGCACTAGCTCCAACTCTTTTGTGTATTTCACCAGTGGCAAGATGTAGGGACACAGTGCAATACAGGAGTGCATACTTTAGACTTAATGGGATGCGAACACCTACATGTAACATAGAGAGAGACAGTAGTTCTAGACATTCATTGAAGATATATCTAGTCTACATTAAAATCTTTTGAATAAGACATCAGCTGCTGCTTGAGTTCTCTTTTCACCAGCTTCCAGAAAACTTCCATAATAATAATCACAATAACAAGCTATGCATACCACTACATCTCAAACAAAAACACAAATAAACACATACAAAGCAAAAAATAAAAGAGAGAAAAATAATAATAATAATCTAATAATTCCTCTACAGCCCTAATATCTCAAACAAGAACATATAACAAACACATGCAAACCATAACAAAAGAAAGAAGGAAAGACAGAGAATCTGTCATTCTGCCCTCTCTCTCTCTCTCTCTCCATACTGTGTTGTATAACCGGGTTATGTAACAGCGCAGCAGCATGTGCAGCTCCAGTGGCACAGCAGAGACTGGTCCACCAGATGCAGAGATCAGTGGCTGTGTCCATCCCTGTTAACTGCGGCCATGTCTCCTGTGAGCTCAGGTGAGTGTTTTTATTCTGACACTGACTCAAACTCCGCATCAGCACCGTTTTATTATCCACCTGCTGATGACACACACACACACACACACACACACACACACACACACACACCGATGAGAGGGATGAGCACTTGAATAGCTCGACGCACTGTGATGGCTGGAGTTTCCTTATTTTCCATGTTGTAATGTACGTTTACAGTGCGGGTTGATGCATGTGACTGTGATGATGGGTGATGGAAGAACAAACTGTTCTTTCAGCTTCGATGCGCTATAGACCGGTTTGTCTGGTTTGATCGCAGCTCGCAGATTAAGATTGAATGCGTAAAAAATAACGCTATTATATTGTTGTTGACGCAGGTTGCTTCTTCACAGGCTGCAGTCCCGTGATAGGATAAAGCAGCGCTGGTTCAGGCTAAACGTCAGTTCTATTATAGAGCGAAGCACGTGGTCTACTGCGCGTAGCTCTAGTGCATTTGTGGGGCGTTTCCAAATCCATAAATCCATCCGCTTGCTTAAAATGCAGGAGAAGATTTTGTGATCAGAAAGTCTCAGTGTTATAATGTGTGACCTCTCTGACGGGTATAGATCCCTGATGTTCCCTCATTACTCATTTTTGATGATGTGTTGTGAGTCCATCTGCAGGTGATGAATTAAATATCACAAAGTCCAGTGTTGACTTTGCTGTTTATTAAATAGAATTTGCATCCACAGTGTCATCTCCCATTCCTAATGTAAGTCAGCGGCACCATAGGATGTTTGCTGGTGTAAGGGTAGATGTGCCAGGGAATAAGAGAGGACGCCTCTCTGCAGAAGACCTAGTGTCAGTTTACTTGTGAGCAGACCATCTGTGCATGTATCCACATGCTGTGTGCACTGACTTTTGTAAGCAAATATTATAATTTCCATGATGTTTACCAGGGTTTTTTATTACGGTTCAAAAGTGCAGTCGCTTTCTACTTCCTCGCTTAACCTGATCACGCCTCATTTTAAGACCAACACACCCATGGGTGCTTATATTGGCACAAGTGCAGTTGCTGTTAAAACAACATTGTGCTGACTGGGAAATTGAGAAGTGTGAAGAAAGCAAAAAAAGCTTGCATGGCCTAGTTGGCACCACTTAGTTGGAGGGATGGACCCAGGTCCATTCAGGCTTCAGGTTTCCATATTAATCCTTCACAGTGAAGGTCAAAAACATTCTTGTGAATTAAGGTTAAATACAAATTAAAGACTTTAAATTTAATTTCAATGTTAATAGGTTTAAAATGATTTTAATTACCTATCTAATCAGATGTCCTTGGTTTCACACATAGTCTTCAAAACAGACTGCTCCAGCAGATGAAGGATTCATTAAAATATCTTCATATCACATTACTGTACATGTTCCTTCCTCTGTGTTTGCTTTACACTCAAAGATTATGTAAAAGTCACTCTTTGGTTGTAGTTGCACATGGGGTAAACCAAATAATGGCTTGCCTGGTAACAGTGGAGCTGACTGTTGACAATAATTTAAGTCAGATGTCTTCATAAACACTGGAATCTGCCGTTTGGGAGAAGTCGTCTCTCAGCGGAGTTCTATGAGGAGGCTGATTTAATAAAACTCTGCAGTGACGCAAGGAGCAGAGTCACTGACACAGCCGCCTGTGTTAATTCCCACTGAGGATCTAAACTCCAGAACGCCCTGACTTTTGCCCAAATGTAGTGTTGAAACAAGCTGCATGAGATTTCCTCTATAAAACAAAACTCCACCTTTTAATGACCATATAATTAAACAGTTAAGTCGATTTTCTAATGTTTAGTCAGAATCAGAGAAGATTGACTCGTTACAACAGGATTTAAATTCCTAAATAAATGTATAAAAAAATATAAAGGATGAATGTTGCATTCTGCATTAACTACATGAAATGGTTGATGCTGCTTGTGGCTCTTATTCCTAAACAACTCTTTCTGCTGCATGGCACAAGGCCTTAGCAGGAAAACTAAGATATCCTGGTTGGCTGGAACACATTTTCTAGAAATATATCACACATCTTTTGGCTAAAATTTAAAAAGTGCAGTTAAATTGAGTTTTCTTTGTAGATTGTTGCTTGAAAGTTGATCTTATCAGACAAAGAAACACAACTGTAGTTTTTTCCAAAGTTCACCCTGAAATCGCACAGTTTGAATTGAATGCACCCTAATCAAAGACGGCCATTTCCCTACAATTTTGGTAAGATACCGTGGATGTGTTTTATTTCCTACAGATAATGACAAGCCTGTTGAGAATGGCAAGGACAAGGAATCCATCAACACGCTACTGAAGGGACTGGAGACAATTTCTCCTTTGGTCCGCTCTGCACAGGAGACCCCTGAGCCGATCTCTACCACAGTACAAGGCACCATTCCCTCCTGGATCAATGGCAAATTCCTCCGCAACGGCCCGGGGAAGTTTGAATTTGGAAACACACAGTGAGTTGGAAACACCTCAATATACTGCTGCTCAACACAAATGAAAATAAATACATGTGATGTGATTTAACCTGGACTTGTGTTCCCCACCGCAGCTACAACCACTGGTTCGACGGGATGGCGATGCTACACCAGTTCAAGATCGACAAAGGCCAGGTGACGTACATGAGTCGGTTCCTGAGCAGCGATGCCTACAAGAAGAACAGTGAGAGGGACCGCATCATGATGTCAGAATTCGGCACACTCGCCATGCCCGACCCCTGTAAAAACTTCTTTCAACGCTTCCTGTCTCGCTTTGAGAGGATGGGTGAGGAGATGTAATAACAAGGGATGGGGAAAGACTAGTGTTAGGGGAGTGGCCTGTCAAAGAGGAGGAGTTATGGGGATCAGAGGTGGTTGGTTAGTTGACTCCCTGTACATGGAAGTTGCTTCGCTCTATTTATGTCATGTTCCGAGGTATAAATGAAATAACAACTATAGGATGTCAGTAGTGCCCTTCAATTCAAACTAGCTGCACCACGTTGCATAACCTCATAGATATCAGTTTCCTAAATATGCCTGATTTGATTCATAAAGCTCCGTAATTTATTCTCTGCGAAATCTTCATATATATTAAAAAATTTCCCCCCAAAAATATCCTGGATCCATACCAAAATGTTATGGATCCCTCCCTGACCCACAGCACATCCTTCCACCAAGTGTTGATAAAACATAACCTCCTTGGCAAAGGTCATGCAAGCAGTTTGGTCATTTGAGAAAGATAGGATACCTTTCTAGATCAGGTGGGAGAAAAGACGACACCGTACAAGCTATTTTCATGAAAAATATGTTGAGGCCTGAGGGTGGGTCTTCCAAGAATTCTATTTACACAAGTTACATAATTACATGTGCCACAGTGAGGAACCAGACAGGGGGCAAGACATTCTCAAAATGTTTTACAACACACCACTAGACTTGTGCAACTGCAAGCTGCAAATCACAAAGCAGGGTGCTTTAGAACGCTAATTATTTTGAAAAGAAGAATACTGTCATTCATCTGAAAGCCCTCCCAGTAATCCAGTAACGTGTTTTTCTTTGTTGCAGAGCCAACGGATAATGCGAGTGTGAGCTTTGTGAAGTACAAAGGTGACTACTATGTCAGCACAGAGACGAACTTCATGCACAAAGTGAACCCAGAAAATCTGGAAACGCTGGAAAAGGTACTAACTTGAGCATCATGCAGTAATGTTTTAGTTTAATATATTTATAAATAGTCCAGTTATTGACACACACACTGATTCTACTTAGTCTATGCTTTGTTTCATAGGTGGACTGGAGCAAGTTTATTGCTGTTAATGGAGCCACTGCCCACCCACACTATGACCCTGATGGTACCACCTACAATATGGGCAACTCCTATGGAAGCAAAGGTTAGTCCCATTGTCCGCAAGACCCAGAATTAAATATACACCTTAATTATTTGTTTCTCACACATTGATCATCAAATAATAAAACTATAAGTGCATACCTTCACCAAGGCTAATGTCCCATCTCGCTATGTCAAAGCAGTGTTTCCCATTCATTTGCTTAGGCTGTAGGCAGTTTCATAATGAACCAAAACACTTTTTCCACTTGTTATAATAACATAGGAGATTGGCCATAAAGCTTGCATCCTCCTTGCAGATACAGCGACACCTGCAGGTGGAATGCATTGCAGTTCTCTCTCACACAAAATTACTTGTCTGTCACTGCTCTGTCTGTGTGCTTGTCACTCAGAATTTGCTGCACGTCAGAGCAACATCATGCACATACATGTGCTCCCCTCGCTACTTCCACAAAGTTTTGTAATAATCCTTCTGGTGGTTATTGTGTCATCATTCTAACAGACAGGCAACAAACAAAGCAGATGATAACATAACCTCCTTGGTGAAAGTAATATTGTGTGGTAAAGGTAGATGGTAATCCAGCTTTTTTCAGGAGCCCAGTACAACATCATCAAAGTGCCGTCTGAGAAGACCGATGCCAAAGACACGCTTCAAGGCGCCAAAGTGCTCTGCTCTATCGTGCCTTCAAACAAGTCCCATCCCTCCTACTATCACAGCTTCGGTAAGTCAGCGCTCATTGATATCACTCAGCATTAGTGGTGTCTGTAACTTTCACCTGTTGTCCTAAACCACAAAGCACAACGATCCTCTTGCTTCCAGCCATGTCAGAGAACTGTGTGGTGTTCATCGAGCAGCCAATCAAGATGGACCTGCTGAAGATCGTGACATGTAAGATGAGGGGGAAGGCTCTGAGCGAGGGCATCTACTGGGATCCCAATGAGGAAACTGTCTTCCATGTTGTTGACAAGCACACAGGCAAGGTGAGATAAGAGGGATGGTTAGAGGTGAGGAAGTGGGGAGGCTTGCTTTAGGTACTGGATGGTCTAACCATTTGTTCTGTGCCGCAGGTCAGCTCAGTGAAATACCACACCAAAGCCATCGCCACCTTCCATCAGATCAACGCCTTCGAGGAGGATGGATTCCTGATGCTTGACATGTGCTGCTCAGACGACGGCCAAGCCATCAACAACTACCTCATCCAGAACTTACGCAAGTCAGGAGATGCACTTGATGAGGTCAGACTTTAATTACTCGTGCACACATAAATTTGTGTGTAGAGAGAAGTGAATTTAACAAATCCTGACAACACCTGCACATGACAGCTAGCCTTTTTGCTAAGTCTAGCATATTTGCAGTAATGGTTGTCAATGTGCACTGTGCCTGAGAGATAAATAAATAATAAATCCATCCTCAGATCCTCTCATACAGTCAGACATGATCAGATCTGTTTTTTCTCATCTTGAGTTGTGTATAACTGCTTAATCATCTTTTTATTTTCTGCTAAATAATTGTGGAATACATTTTTGAGAACTTTTTCAAAGTTAAGTGTTGCCGTCTGTCTGCTCATATTTTTGGACTGTTTATATTGAATAATTGATTTTGTCTTTTTACTGTTGCTTCATTTCTTACATTTTTTTAGTCTCTTTGCACAAAGACACCAAAATACTTCATGATAGTTTCTTCCTGTGGTATGTCCCTCCCAGGTGTACAACACCATCTCCAAGAATTACCCCCGGCGTTTTGTTTTGCCCCTGAATGTGACAAGTGAAACACCAACAGGCCAGAACCTGAACACACGGCCCTCCAGTAACGCAACGTGTGTCAAAGTCAGCACAGATAAGGTGAGCTGGACAATGAAAAGGTCACTTGCTCAAGACAGAGCTCAACAATTTAAAGATCATAGAAAACAGGATGGCAGAAACATCTTAACAGTAGACATATGACCTTTGTCCACAGGTCTTCTGCCAGCATGAGGACCTCCATGGTGATGATCTCAATGACTACGGAGGCCTGGAGTTCCCTCAGATCAACTATGACAGATGTAACACACGACCATACCGATATTTCTACGGCTGTGGCTTCAGACATCTGGTGGGAGACTCTCTGCTCAAGATGGACCTGAACGACAAGACACTCAAGGTGTGTGTGTGTGTGTGTGTGTGTGTGTGTGAGAGAGAGAGAGAGAGAGAGAGGTCCTTGAGGGCATGATCTAATGAGACAAAACATAATTTCTGAGGTCGTGGTTAAGGTTAGTGCTATTATGTGAAGTGTGGTCAGTTAAGGTTAGCGTGAGGCATGAACTTTTAATGCTTAAGGTTATAGATTTGGTTTTGGTTAGGCTGTCCACAATGAATGGGAGTCAATGCAAAGTGCTGCACAATCATCTTTCCAGTTTGTATTGAAGGTTCAACAGTTTGCAGAACTAACTGGAATAAGGTGAAAGCAAAGCAACACGAACCCATTTGTTTGGCTGTTTGAGTAAATCAAACATTTTAAATACATTTAGGATTTACAATTCAACAAGTCCCTTTTTTATCTTAACTATTAACTTACACAGACATTTGTACTTTTTAGTAAAATTCAGATATTCTAATACTATAAACTTATAGCACAGATATAATTACCCTAAAACATTTTGTCAGCTTTAATCAACATCCTATTGATGCCTTAAAACAGCTTCTCCATTTCTCTGTGGTTAAAGGTAGAATGCTGAAACACTTGTGAATTTGATATTCCACAGGTCTGGTACCAGAAGGGTCTCTACCCCTCAGAGCCCGTGTTTGTGCCGTCACCCGAAGCCGTGGAGGAGGATGATGGTGTCGTCCTCTCTGTGGTTCTCACCCCCTCACAAGTAAGACTGTTAAAATACAGGAGTTGATGAAAAGAGATGTGACAAAAATTAAATGGTCTGAGAAAGAGAGAATTAAACTGCAGGAATAAAAGTGTCTTTGTAAAAACAAACCTACAATGTTTGAAAATTATTCCACACAGGATTTTTTGCATATTTTCTCAACTAAGCAAATGAGTTTACACAGCTCTAATTAAAAGTTGAGTTAAACTTTACTATTTCTATTTTGAAAGGTTTGAACCGTGTAGCAGTTGTCATTGTGCCCCCTGCTGACAGCACGTGTGGCAGCTTGTATCTAAGCTGTCGCTGTAAAGCATTAAAACGCTGGTGGAGAATGAAAGCTAAAACTGTATAGTGACCAGCAGGAGTACTGATGCAGTCTGTGGAAGACCTTCACAGGATACAATGCTTATTTTAAGTACCGTATTATACCAAATAAAATGTCCTAAATGGATGTTTTTTTTATGTATTTTTCATGCTTCTTTTATTTCCCTCAGCACCTGTGTGTGTCTGTGGCCTTGTGTACTCATGTACTTATCTCTGAAACACGTCATAGATCTCTGCATCAAATATCCGTGAAACACATCATCAAATATCTCTGAAACACATCATCAAATATCTCTGACATAACAAATATCTCTGAAACACATTATATATCTCTGAAACACATCATCAAATATCTCTGACATATCAAATATCTCTGACATATCAAATATCTCTGAAACACATCATCAAATATCTCTGACACATCAAATATCTCTGAAACACATCATCAAATATCTCTGACACATCAAATATCTCTNCAAATATCTCTGAAACACATCATCAAATATCTCTGACACATCAAATATCTCTGAAACACATCATCAAATATCTCTGACACATCAAATATCTCTGACATAACAAATATCCCTGAAACACATCATATATCTCTGAAACACATCATAAATCTCTGAAACACCGTACCTGGTTTAGAAGCTGTTCAAACCGTCAGTTGTAGCTGTTTGTGCTCACAGAGGAATATTCTGCTGTAGTGACACTATGAATGGCATCACTCAGATTAGAGGCTCTGTGTGGATTCTGATTGTAATCTCCACTGAACTTTTCTCTCCAGGATAAAGGGACGTTCCTCCTGGTTTTGGACGCCAAGACATTTGAGGAGTTGGGAAGAGCCAATGTGCCTGTTAATATTCCTTATGGCTTCCATGGAACCTTCAATGCATCTACATAGATCTAACCATGTAGCTCTTCTGATACATGACATGATACAAAGAATACTAAATGCAGTATTACTCACACACAAGTTATTACTATAATGTGGGCATCAATTTATATTGTAGGATGGTCCTACTTTTATATCACACAAGTGTCTAATGGACATTTTCTTTTGTACTCTTTTTAGTCTCAAACTATATTTTTTTAAGGCTGATTTACTTTTATAAATCCTTCACTTTACTAATATTTACCTCTGTGAACTTTCAAGTGCAGTTACACAGTTGTGCTTCTTTAAAACACAGAATCTCTGCCATTTTCTGAAATATGATCACATGTGAAAACAGCTGCTTCAACCGGACTTTATTATTGAGGTGTTTTAGAATTGAATCAACTTTTTTTATAGAAAATGAAAATCATCATATTATGTCTTGTGCTACTTTTGTTTTGCTACGTTATTTTTAAACACTAAAGTTTGTAATTTGTTTGATTTAACACATTTATTTTGAACATGTTAACAAATTGCAAAAAAATTTAAACATTTACCAAAACATTCTTCACTTCACAACTATCAAGGGTCCCAACATCCCAACATTGAACCCTGGGGATCCCCAAAGGTAATGTTCAGAAACGGGTTAACGAAGAGAGACCTCTCCCTCTAAATCCAGGTCTTTGTATTTTTTCAAATAGTAAATCTTGCTCTAACGTGTCAAATGTTTTTTTTATTTTGAGAACCAGAAATACCACTACTACATATTCTTTATTTTCTATTGCTGTTTCTATTTTTTAATTTCTTCCTTTTATACAAATAAAGTGGTCTCACCAGCTCCAAATCTATGTTGCTGCTTATATGTAATGTATTATGATTTGTAATGAAGTGATAAAGTTTTGTATGGAATATTTTCTAGTATCCATTAGAAGCAAAGGAAAAAGGTCTGCAGTTTGAGAGTATGTTTGTATCCAGCTTTATATATTATCTATCATAATAAACATTTGTCTTGGTTAGTAGAGGCTGGGTACAGATATGAGTCAGAGGTTTTATAGTAAATTTAATTACATTTTTAACCAAACATTTCAATTTTATTCCAGACAGCGGGTCTTTTACTCTTGATCTTTAAAACAATTTCTTACATATAGATTTTTTAATACAACTTTGCTTGCCACATAATTGAAGTCAAACCAGGACTTCTAATAATGACAAATAAATCATTACATGTATTTGTGACCAAGGCTATGTTGCTGTTTCCTTTTTACCAGTCAATTATCTCTCCTTCCCAGATTTCTCTTTTCATCAAACGATTTAAATTTTCCATGTAATTTTTTTATTATTGTATCAATTGTCCTCCAGTCGTTCTGTATTAAGTCATTTTGCAGTTTCACACAATTCTTTGTTTTGTGTCTTTTCTTTACTTTAATTCTGTCTATAATGAAGATGACACATTTTCCTTTTCTTTTATGAAATGAAAGTTTCTCTCACAAAGTCCAATTTCACACAATTTTAAGAAACATTTTATAAACAGTAGACGCACATCATGAACAGTGTCACAGTTTCAAAACATGTATTTTTACAAAGTAAGTTGAGACATGGCTTTGCAGCAGATGAATCAATAAATCAGTGCGAGTATTATTGACTTTTAAAACTCACTAACCACTATGTGTAGTGTGATGCACACATTTGAAAGTGCACAGGTACTTACTTATTCAATCCATTAATTTACATCAAATTCTAGGATTTCTACTCAGACCAGCACTGCACACAAAACTTGATAAACGACCGTTAATGCAGGTTTTTGTCTCCTGCAAGAACTCAAAAAATTGTCCACTAGAGGGCAGCACATGATCACATTTACTCTTAGTACCTCCAGCCATAGAGTGACTCTGCAGTCAGGACCTGAACTCACTACCTGACCAGGAGAGAGAAATAAAGAGACAGAAAACTGTTGCATGTTGTGCTGTTTGTGTAAAACTGGGGGACAGTACCATCTTGGTTTTGAGAGTGACAATAATACAACATGCCTGTGTTGCACTCAGTCGTTTTATTGTGACTCTCATGAACAGTCGCTCTCTGCTTTCAGCTGAATGATTCTATGAATCTTAACGGATCCACTTTCTGGCTCAACAAAGGAGAGAGGCAGGAGTAACGTTTCTGAGGAAGGCGGGCTAAACACGGGCACAGCGGCTATGAGAGGGATCAAGCTTGTGACCCTCTGACAATGGGACAGTCTGTAACTGCCAGCCCACCCTGCCTCATCAAAAACTTACGGCAAACACTGCAGAGGCCTGGCATTGAACCTCAGACGGGTTATTTCCAAGTCTGTGACCCTAACAACCGCCTTTATAGGACACTTGAGACAGAGTGCCTCCACTGGGAAAAAAACTGAAAAGACAAGAAGCAGAAAAAAGAACAAGTAAAGGAACACCTTGGTTCAGAGAGAAAACAAAACATAAAAAGACTTGGAATAGATCAAAATCGAGACAGTGGATTAAAGCAGAAGACTAACTGCAGCTTGCCATTTCACTTATTGGGCTGCGTGTGTGGCCGCAGAACAGATGCACATTTCCATAGAGGAGTGAACAAAAGGGAAAAGAAGAAAAAAAAACTCTCTGTGTGTTCCTGACAGACGGTTAAAGCAACAGGAACCAAACTCCTATAATGAAACCTCTAAATCGAAACGTTTTTCTCCCCGGACAGTTGAAGTTGTAAAGTTTGAGAGATGCTCTCACAGTACAAGACATGCATTGATGATGGATATTATGATTTAGCTGCAGATGGTATATTAGAACGATTAAAAAAAAAAAAAAAAAAATTCCCCTTGCACTTGTTTTCTCTGTCTGAAACTTTCGAGTACTCCTCACTGCTTACAGGGAAGCTGATGTGATCACCTCCACCAAGGGGGTTTAATTCTCCCCATCCATTTATTTGTTGGTTTGTTTCTTTGTAAACATAGTTACACAAAAACCACTGGACATGTTTCCATGGAACTTGGTGGAAGGATGTGAACTGTGTCACTTTCTTTAACGTTACGAGGGCATTTTCAACATTTTCAACGATTTCCCAGAGAATAATTCACAGTGTGTGTGAAATTAAGGGCAAATCCAAATTAAATCGTGATCTAGTGAATTTAAATGTAAATGTGTTATTAGCAGCTCTAGTTTGACATTGTTCCACTTCAGATATTCGTAGAGCACAGAAGTTCTGACAGATATTTTTGGATTCTTACATAGATTTCTGTTTTACAGAAACATTACATAAAAACTTTTCTTTTTTTAATCCTTTGTGTTTTTGCTTGCCTGACCACTGGTTTGATTCTGTTGTTCTGCGCTACAGATAGCATTCAGGCTCTGTAAAAGGCACTTTTGTCTATTGAAGCCGTCAGACGTGTCCCGGGTCAGGATTTGTGATTTTTCTGGCAGGATGATAGTTTGTGATCAGCTGTGGAATAAGAAGCACATTTATTTTTAGTTTGTTTGGTGTTGGTGATATGAATAGCTCTGCTGCCCTCTGTGTAAATGCAGGAAGCGTTTGAAGTCAGATAACAGGGAGAACATCTGCACCACCACAGGCAGCAGTACACTGTTAAAATATACTCTATCATGTTATTGTGAAACTGAAGAATACTTTTGTTTCTGGTATAAGCCTGTTTACAGTAGTTAGTGCAGGAAGGATAACAGCAGGCAGGAGATATCAACAGACAGGTGATACTTTTTGTTGGGGCCCTGCAAGTAGAGTAGAGTACAGTTCGTCATTGAGCTTTAGATCTTAACCTGCAATAATTAACTTGGCCACCTTGGGGCCCAACACTGACCTACTGTCAGAATTTTAAAGTTGATATAGAAAACATTTCCGCAAAAAGTGGCTTCATTTTACATGGTGCAGGCCAGAGGCAACATTATTTACACTTTTTGTGCACCAGACGAATGACAGTCAAAAACATTCACTCTGTTTTTATTCTGGTTTATGTCACAGTTGTGAGTACAGAGACTCCGGAGCTGAAAACCGTGAACGTGAAATACAAACAAACAGCCTGAAGACTCTAAAACGCTCTGCAGGGCTGAGGGCCACTGCAGGGTTAGTGACCAGCAACATCTTTCACATTACAGTCAGTAAAGCCAAATCAAATTTGAATTAAAATATCGTTTAGAGCAGCTTTAACTATTAGACTCATGGGTGTTATCCAGTGCAGCAGGTCAGAAATACTCATTTGATTTATATGTATGTATGTATATATATATATATATAAATGCTCAGGTTGACAGTGGGTGGAGCGACGGAAGGGATTATTTGACAACCCCCCAAACCATTTACTTTAAGAGGAAGTTTGAAACAGATTTAAAAAATGACAACACAAATAACTCTGACAGACAACAGCTGAGACATGTATCACGTGGCACAAAGGTTCATTAACTTTACAAGTAAAGACATTCACAGGTGTAAAGAAACAAACGGCGGAATGAGTAAATCATTCTGTACACCCCCACAGCGTCCTGAGAGTGGAAACACCTGGAGTTGTACCATGACAAAGATCTTCTTTCTAAACATAAATGGAAATAATGATCCTAAATCTGCACCATTCCACCCCAGAGACTGCAGTTAGTCCACAGATTGTTCTTCTCAGTCAGATATGAAAACACTATTATATTACATCATTTTAAAACAACAGCAGGGTTCTTGTACAAACATCATTGCGCCCTATAATTTGTCAAAAGGGGTGAATGTCAAATATTGAGAGAAAAATCTTTCTCTCAATTGAAATAAAAAAATCCAGTATTGAAAAACACTTTGTCTGCTGTTGCAATTACTTTGCACAAATTCCCAGTCAGTTTAAAGCCGCATCTGAAATCACCCACTAACCATGTAGAGAATAAGGGGGAGTGAATGCGTGTTCGATTTCAGACACAACCTATGATGTCATTTCCAAAAGGTTTTTTCCATGGAAGACATGTTGGAGTGTGAAAAAAAGAAAAAGCACCGGTGTAAATAAAATAGTGACGATGGCCGGGTTCCATTGAGCTGCTTCACTTTCAGGCTCTTGTGTTGTTCATGCGGTCACACTGTCTGAGTCCAGCCACAGTATAGAGATATGGTCTAAATTAGATTGTTCTGGGACTGTAATGTGTATATAAAGTTGGACGTCTCCCCCCGGTGGCTGGCTGCTGTATAGGTCTTAAATCCAGCCTCCTCCGTGTTAGTGGATGGGACATGGACCAAGTCCAGATGTGCAAAAAACACATTAAACTCAAAGATGGTTCATGACATCCTAGGATGTTGTTATCACACCGGTGTTTGTTTTTGCAGCCATCAATCAGCACCAATTGTGAGTCGGTCTCAGCTGTCAACCATGATGTTTTTATCGCATCAAATAACTATTTAAAACCAAAGTTACCTGAGGAATTAACACCTTTGTTACATAAGTGCAATGAGAACTACTACTATTACAATGACAGAAACCAGCAAAGACAGGTACCCATTTTTTTGTTCTCCCATCCACTAACATTGAGGAGGCTTAATAAGGGTTTATGATCAATACTGCAGCCAGCCACCAGGTGACGATGGAGACATGTTGACAATCTTTGTATACAGTCTATGGCATAAATGTGTCTCATTGGTCAAACTGACTTCATGTAATGTGCTAAGCTAGTTAACGGAAAAACATGAGACCTTCTACGTAACTCATTAAAAAAGGGAATAAAGGTATTTCCCTTCATGTCAGTGACCATCACACACTGGTGAAGGTGGTCTTGACTGTACTGTTGAGCAGCCTGTAATGACTACAGCTACAGCTACTCCTGACATGTGAGCGGTTTTCCCTCCAGCCCCTAGTCCTTGAAGTACGCTTGACAAAAAAATAAGCGCTGGACTTGATTATCTGTGCAGTGAGAAGGTGATGAAACTGATGTCCATCTTCTCATCTGACAGCAGGTGAGACAGAAAACAAGCTCATGTGTCAAATGACTGATTGTCCTTTAAAATCCTTTGAGATGACACAGACTGAGAGAGAGAGATGGGCATAGGCTTTACAGACAATCGGAGGTGACTCCTGACATGCTCGACTGTAGCATGTCTTAAATGTACTGCCTCACACCAGAGTCAAATGTTTAGCTTCCTTTTTTCTTTTGTGTGCTGCATTCTCATGATAATCATGCACATGTGAGGAATTCTATTTCCTATTTCCACTCTTTACTAGTCTGTTTTCAGTTAGTCCATTACTACAGGGAGAGAGCTGCTTATGTTTCTGTGTGTGTGTGTGTGTCGGTGTGTGTGTATGAGCATATTTCAGAGTCGAGAGCATCGTTTGACCTCAAAGTACTGTGAGTCTGTGTGTGTGTGTGAGTGTGTGTGTGTGTGTGAGTGTGTGTGTGTGTGTGWGTGTGTGTGTG